CGTGCGGGGTCCTGACGGGAGGCCCCGGTGTCACGTCCCGCTCTGTGGACCCCCGAGGCGCTGTGGAGACAGCAGTCCCTGGCTGACGGGGCCGGCCGGCTCCGTGCTGGGGTGGTGCCCTCTCAGCCACCACCAGGTCCAGCTGCAGGCTGCTGGGCCCTGTTGCTACCTGGGGTTCCAGCATACCCCTTCCTCCAGCCTGTCTGCCTGCAGATCCTGCCTTGTACCCTCTTCTTCTGTGTTCTGGCTTTTCCCTCAGTATGGCACAGCTCCAGACTTGCTGTTTGCCCTCTGTGTCAGCATGCAGTCAGACTCCTTTTTAAACAAAGCAGTAAAAAGCATCATCATTTAATTCATTAATTATTACTTGGTTATGATTTCCTTCTTAAACATAGATACTTTAAAAATCCTAAATTTTGTGATCATTGTAGCTTGCTTTAGTTCCTAAACAACTGGAAAAGGGTAAAGACCATCTTCCATACTGTATCTATCGTTCCTTATTTCTATATTGCTATAAAAGTACTTTGGCAACATAATATAAACGAGCAAAATCCAAATGATGGCGCGATCTTGGAACTTGGGAAACCTCCTGGCCATGGTAAGCTGAGTTTTTGGGAGAGTGATGGATGCTCGGGAATCACCTTGAGGATGCCCTGTCTTGATGGTGTTCCTGTACCCAGAAAGTCTGATGCAGTTGTCTTATTGATGTTCTTGGTGCTCTTTTCATGACTTATGTGCCATGGTGCACTTATAAATACTTATCTGGACCTAAGAATGCAGATCTGATCGAAACGTGGCTTATTTCAGTATTGCTAGAAAAGTTTTGGTCTTGTGAGTTGGCTTTTGAGGCAAGGAAGAAGAAGTCATGTTCTTACCTGAGCACACGTTATGCTGGAGATGTAATGGGGATCCTTTTATCACTCCTCCTTGTTTCCCATTTAGGAGGACATGGCTGCTCACGTGGGAGCATCCCGAACGCCCCAGGAGGTGATGGAGCACTACGTGAGCATGTACATCCACGGCAACCTGGGAAAAGCCTGCATCCCCGACACGATTCCAAACAGAGTCACGGACCACACGTGTCCCAGCGGGGGCCCGCTCTCCCCTAGCCTGACCACACCGCTTCCGCCGCTGGATATATCGGTGGCCGAACAGCAGCAGTTGGGATACATGCCGCTGCGGGACGACTACGAGATCGAGTACGATCAGGACGCAGAGACTCTGATCAGTGGCCTTTCGGTGAACTACGACGATGACGATGTGGAAATAGAGTTAAAACGAGCTCACGTAGACATGTACGTAAGGAAACTCAAGGAGAGGCAACGGCGGAAGAACATTGCGCGAGACTATAACTTGGTACCGGCCTTTCTGGGAAAGGACAAAAAGGAGAAGGAGAAAACTCCCAAACGAAAGATCACAAAGGAAGAGAAGGAGCTGAGGCTGAAACTGCGGCCTCTGTACCAGTTCATGTCCTGTAAGGAGTTTGAAGACTTCTTTGAGAACATGCACAAGGAGAGGATACTTCGGGCAAAGATTCGGGAGCTGCAGCGGTATCGTCGAAACGGAATCACCAAAATGGAGGAGTCGGCAGAATACGAGGCAGCCAGGCACAAACGGGAGAAGAGGAAGGAGAACAAAAACATAGCGAGTTCCAAGAGAGGGAAGGAAGATGGGAAAGAGGGCGAATTTGCTGCCATCGAAAACCTGCCTGGCTTTGAGCTGCTATCGGACAGGGAAAAGGTGCTCTGCAGCTCCCTAAATTTGAGTCCTGCACGTTACGTGACTGTGAAAACTATAATCATTAAAGATCATCTCCAAAAAAGACAAGGAATTCCTTCAAAGAGTCGCCTTCCCAGTTACTTAGATAAGGTACTGAAGAAAAGGATTTTAAACTTTCTAACAGAAAGTGGTTGGATATCCAGAGATGCTTCATGAAACTCAGCTGATCTGAAAAAAACCACAGCAGAGGCCCTTTACAGCCTCAAGGACTCCGTTACTTTTTCCTTCCCTCCCCAAAGATACAAAAATCATGTCACTTAAACAACAAAAAAGCAAACACAGAAACCCCCACAGTACTCATGATCCATGGTTCAAAAAGACTTGCTTTGGATCATGGAAAATACTTAATTGTGAAACTTCTACAGTGGATTTCACTGCTTTTGGTACATTGGTAGAACAGATTTCTTTCATGTGAACTTACTCAAGTCCAGTAGTCCCAGAGCGGTT